TGTGGATGTCTATAGACAAACACTTCGCCATTGTGTCGAATTCAGGTGGGCGCTTGCTTGTTTCCCATCTTATGATTTAAAATGTAGGAGGTCTGGAGCTGGGCTCGAAAGCGGCCGAGTGCTGGGAGCACATATTCGGCGCGTGCCACTACGTGTCCAGCTTGGAGCACGCGCTGTTCGGGCAGCAAGGCAACAACGCCACGCCCATCGTGACGGTGCAGACCGCGCGCAACAAGACCGTCTGCGTGCTGCAGGCGGACGCCAAGCTCAGCCTCGACCCCAAAGACGATGAGACCTGGTAAATGGAAAACTTCTTACATTAATAGCAAATTTGAACTCTAATTTCAGTCTTGAATACGATAGTAAACATTTAGTTTTATGCAATTAATGTAACTGTAACAACGTATTTAACTTTAACAACTAGAGTACTGACGCCCGTCAGAATGGCGCGCTATTCTCAATTAACTGAATGACATTGACAGTTGTCATAGGGATAGGGATGTACTTGCCAATAATCTAGTGTTGCGCCAATCCTTCGGCGTAGTACTGATTTTCTTCTTAACGTTAGGAAGGATGGTTTATTTATGTTTTTTTTTCCAGTGTGGACGTTTTCAATTTCTTGCAACCAGTGATGGAGAATAATTATAACAGCGATATGTCTGTGGCTAAAATTGTTGAGACATGTCGACAGGAGGTGAGTAATAACTGTTTTTTTAAAAAACAGAAATACCAAAATGCGGTAATAAAAAGCTGTTGCACACGACTTAGTCTGCATCTGTGTTACTCTCTTATAACGTAGCCTTTTATTAGTAAAAGAATTTTTGAAATCGATCCAGTACTTTTTGAATTAATGCAATCACAAAAATACAAATCTATACTCTGAGTCATAATATTATAGTAAACATTTGTAATTACTCCATAAAAGTTATTTGGATTTTAAAAAAGCGTCATTTATTAGCATTCCAAATTTAGGCCATTGTTGTATTTTTTGTTAGGGAGGTAACGTAATATCGGGCGCGGGCGCAGCGCGCGTGTGCTGCGCGCTCGCTGCGGCCGCGGACACGCTGTTCTCGCGTCTCGCCGCCACCACCACGCTGCCGGCGCTGCGGGCAGCGCTGCAGCGCCTCGTCGCACATCAACATCGACTGGTGAGCACTGCACTTTTATAACTATTTCTATATCTGTATCTGTATCTGTATCTGTATTTGTACCAGTGTCTATAATATTGTATAATAAAACGTAATCTTAGTTACGAAGAATGTTAGAAATGCCTGTATATTTTTTAATAATTTTTTTTCTTTAAAACCGTTAAACTGACGACACCCTTTATGCTAGACATTTGAATCTAATAAACATAAGGGTAAATAAATTGAAAAATCCGGTGTACGGGAAAACCACAAGTCAATAATAGCAAAAAGCAAGATTACCATTTACCAAAATTTACCAAAACTTCGTTGTCTTTTGCGCATTTGAAATTTAACATTTCACAAATTTAACTATTAAAGTTAAAAAGAAAAGGAACAGCTAGTGATCTATAATCGTATGATGCTGTTTGTGACAGTTGAGCAGTGAGGAGTGTTATTTGTGCAGTTGTTCTCATCGTGGGAGCAAGACGTGGCCAACAACAACTCGGGGTGGTGGAGGCGCGGAGGTCGCGGGGGCGGGGGCGCGGCGGGCGGCGGGGCGGAGGCGGCGCGCGCGCTGTGCCGCGCCGGCGACGTGGCGCTGCGCTGTCTGCGCGCAGCTCGCCCGCTCGCACACCGCATGGCCATATGGACTGTCGTCGGACCACATTTCATGCAGGTTATATATATTTCAACTATCTCTCTCTAATAGATTCTCCGCTTCACTGACAGCTTCAAAATTTATAACTAGTAAAACTAAATCGTTGGAGATTTTCTTTTCAGGCGGCCTGTCACAAAGATATTCAAATATCCAGTCTCGCGATACAATGCTTACACGACTGTGCGACGACTCTGCTCAACCAACAAGTTGAACTTCCTCATTTCCACTTTAACGAGGCCCTGCTCAAGCCTTTTGAAAATTTACTATGCCTAGAACTATGCGATGATGATATTCAGGTAACATTCGTAACATAATAATTTGTAATTGGTATTCTTCACACTGTCCTCATGTGATATGTTAATTTTCAGGAGCAGATTATTTCTTGCATTTGCGAATTCGTAGAAACTAATCGCTTGGAAATCAGGTCGGGATGGCGCCCACTGTTCAACACATTACGCGCTGCAAATAATTCAAATCAGTATTCTGCAATTTTGGAAATATTCAAAGTCTTCCTGAACACAGACAATACTCTGGTCTTCGCGAATGCAGCCCTCGATTGCATACTTTGCCTTTTAAGTCATATAAAAGGTCTACACTTTGAAGAAGTGCAGGCGACAGAAGTTAAATCGAAGAAAGTAACTACGCCGACGCAGCAGAAACCAAGCTTGAGTCTTAAATTTTCAAAGAACAGTAAATTTATTCCACTCAGTGAAGAAAAATCTGAAAAAGTCATCGTGGATATGTGCAGAGAAGCACTTCTTCATTTGGAAAGTTGCGCTGATATTCTCACCATGATGTACAATATGCCAAAGTGTCCAATTTTTAACACGGGCAATAGAATCAAGGGCGATATGCCACTTTCTGTCGTCGATCCTATCATACCGAGCGGGTCACTAGATGTCACCAAATACATCACTAACGACAATTTCGAAGAAGAATTGATATCGTACAGAAAACTATCAACTAGTTTACACCCATCAAATACCACAAACACTTGTTTATTGAAATTAGATAAGCCTAGCAACATACTAAAAGTGTGGTATGTCCTTATTGAAGGATTGATATCAGCGACAGTGGTATGCTCAAAGAAAAACCAACCAGCTGCTATGGAGACACTCTTCAAATTGTTAAAAAATACCGCAGACGTGCCCGGCACACATTTTGGCCTGCATTGTATCAATCATTTGTTGTTGCCCACAGTCCAAAACTGGCTCAGACAAATTGCCAACGTCAATACTCATTGGGACACCATCATGCCTAATTTTAAACAGTGCTGTGGTATGACAACTGACACTATTGTTGTATTTTTACATCAGTTGCAACAAATCAATATCGAACGGTCCACTACCGATGAGAATAACGAAATCATTGACATAGAACCGATAGAAAATGCTGAAGTCAGTTTTGCTTTGAAACAGATAATGCTAATCTTGGTAGAGTGTATAGCGCAGCCTCAAGAACCGATTGCCAGATTGGGAGCGTCTTGTATAAGACACATAATATTAACATCAGGACATTTACTGACTGACAATCAATGGGAAATCATATGCACTAGTCTTCATAGAGCTTGCAATGTAAGTTTGAGCCCTTTAAAGCAGATAACATATGCTTTTAAAGAAAATTCAAACAGTTTCTATGGAGATTTGGCCATGGTAAAAGTGGCAGCGAGACGCGATTGTTCTGTCAATGACAATGTGAGGTTACATGCGATGGCTCAACAAGTATTTCTGACTGATCAGTTGAGAGGAGATAACAATGTAAAGCCCAACGCTAAAAGCTCGAATCAAAATCAAATGCTGATCGATGATCGTAGTTACATTTTCCTTATTTATCTTCAAGACTCAATGAATTCTTTAAATCCTGAATTATACACAGTCAGAATTCCTTACCGAGGTCTAGTTGTGGGCTTGCTTGCTCATCAGATATTGATTCAAATTATAGCAACAGTCCTCATACAAGCTTCATCAGACGTATTTCAAGGAATAAATAACATATTGCTAGAAAGCTTAAAAACAGGTTCCAGTGTTTGCAATTATAGATTCTTCTTGAATAAAGATAATACAGATTTACTTCTGAAAAGTTTGGAGATGTCTTACGTTCGAGCTATGCAATTTGATTTACGACCTGGATTAAAATTTTTAGTTCAGAAAGTATCTAATTTGGATCATGCTGCTAACCTTTACAAGCAAACTACATCTTCGTGGCTGATTAAAATTATAGCCCTTACTGAAATATTCTTTAGCGGTGTCTATACTTACAAACTGATATCGAATGATATTTCAATAATTCTGAATAATTACACATCATCTCTTAATTTGACTCTCGAATACGATAGATTTGTAAGAAAAATATTTGATTTAAAAGCAACGTGGGAATTGCTTTGCAATAATTTCATCAGACACGCAGGTAATGCGCCAGAATACGATGAAATAGACAGCATAAGAGACCGTTTGTCCTGTAGTTCGATAGACAGCGAATCTTCATCGAATAATTACGAGCATTACTATGCTCAAGAAGCATCTGATGATCCTGAACCCTCGGTAAATAACTCAGATAATGAAAACATCAATGATGGGAATATAGAAGAGGATATTTCTGATAAGCCAAGGCCTTTTACATTTGCGGATTTCAAAGCGAATACTAACGAAACCACTAATAATACGCCAACGAAAAATCAAAATAATGGCTTTGATGATCAAGATACAGGGAAATCAAATGACGATACTCTAGAGAAAAGTGAACAAGTTGACAAAATTCAAATAGACAAAACCAGGCGCGAACTTATCGAAGGGATAACACATAGACCTGCCTCCAATATTCCAGAAAATGGACAGAGTCAAGAGAACAAGAAAGTTGGAAGCACATCTAGTGCTATTAGCAACCACGCACGAAAAGTCAACATTACAATATGCGATGGACCAGGCTTTGAAAAGACCAAATCTACGGAGCCGATTATTCCTCCACAGCCCGTGCCTCCGGAAATCGAGCAACAGAGAACGCTAAGCATAAATAAAGTAAGTAAGACAACGTAACTAGATATGTTTTGAATATTTATTCCGAAATTTACATCTTGTATCTTGTGTTTTATTAATTTATTTACAATGTAAATTCGCAGGACATGGACGTGAGACGCTCAAGCTTGCAGAGCATCCTAATGGCATACTTGGAACTGGTGCTGACCTTCCCGCTGGAGAGGTTCCAGCTCGTCAGCCCCGTACTCAACGACGGCTTCCTACAACTCGCCAAAACCATCACCGACCCACAACTTTTGGATAGAATTAATATATTTTTCGATAAAAAAGATATAACGGAACTTAGTTATAAGTAATCATTAAATTGTGATAATTCACATTAATATCGTCAATATATTAATCCTCTCTGTTCAGTGTTATCTTCAAATAAAACAATGCTATCGAGATTATTGTTTTAATACTCCTCATTAGCTTTTAGCATATAAATATACTCCTTCTACAATATCTAAAAATCTGTATCAACAAAATACATAACAAATTATAAAAAAATGTAATACGCTATTTGGTATTTATAAGACTATTTAGTATAACTGTCTTTTTACATTTGTTACAACAATTAATATCAGTTCTTTTATCTATAATACAATTATTTCTTTAACAATGGCTACATACATCTTTTACTATTTATTTCTGTAGCGGTATTCATTGTTGCATGTTTACACTTAGGTAACATTTTAATGATAGTTGAACTTAATCTTGCTTAAAAAATACTGTGCTAGGAACAATCCTAATTGATGCACAAGCATATCTTGACAAAAATTACTGACCAAAATAATCAAAAACGCCTATAACTTTCTTCGTAAAGAAAGAGTTGTAGTTATTTTAAATCGAATTGAAATAACGATTTCAATAATGTTTAGAGAACATTGATTCTTACTGCAATAAAATCTACAACTACGAGATAATTACGAAACGATGGCACAACGAACTCACAGCGGTTATCTTTCTTAAAACTTAAAAGTACAAAGTGTGCCTTATGTACATACATATAAAGCTTAAAAAAGCGTATACATTGATTTGTCTGACGCGTAACTACACATTTCTTACGATGGCACTTCTATTTGGTTTGTAACTTTTCTTATAAAGTAATTATTTACATGATATATCTAATTATCATAAAACAGCCGTACTAAATAACTATGTATTTATTTGATAATAGTATTCGATATGAAAACTGTACAACTTGCTGTAACCAAACTTTACTGATTTTATTCCATCAATAGGACTATATAAGTAAATGTACTGTGCGAATTTGTAAATGCTTGAGCACTATACTGGATTACTTTTATCTAGGAATCAATGCAAATAAAGTTGAAATGAATACTAAAGCTATTGATATACTAAAACTAGCTGCACTTTGTGTAGGGGTCGTGTGCACTGGTATCGCGTACGATAACGCACATAACGCTACGTCACTAGTTATCAAAGCACTACCTCTATTTATTAAATCACCTAACTTTTCTGCTTCAAGAATACACACTTTTAATTGCAAATCAGTAGGATTATCTAATAAAGTTTCCACTGATATGAAAAGCTCCATTTCCACTGTTAAATAACCTCTCAGCGCACACTCAGCTATCTTAATATGCCTTTCTAAAGTTTTTAAAATATTATTTAAATGTACAACATTATCTGATATGTTTGTTCCATATAATGCTCTGTCGAACTGTTTCTTGGCGTATAATATTCTAAGGGCACCGCCACACTTGGGGCAGCAAGCTCCGGGGGCAGTAAACCCGATGCATTTCGGTTTCTTAAGAGGAGGACAAACGATTCTATCAAATCCACACTTAGGCTCCATAAGGTCTGAGATGGGTCCAACAGCGAAGCACGGCCCGAGGTAGTCGACGCTAACGTACTCAGACCAAGCCGCGCACTCCGACATGTATGTGACGCCGTTTAGACCGCAGACAGTACCCTTCTGTAACAAAAATAAGTTTTTTGACGATATGGTGACAAAATCAAATCAAATAATACTTTTCAATTCCATGTGTATTGCTTTTTGTTACGCCACGAATTGAGTTAGGCAAGCATCTAAAAATGGTTAGCACTTTATTGGCGCTCCAAGAATTTTCAGGGAACCCTTTTGCTTTGTGCTGTTATTGAGCATTGCTTACCGTC